CGTGGGACACCCAGTTCTCTGAAAGGTTACTTACATGATCCGACCATTCATTACCACCACCACCTTCTCTATCTTCAAGTGATGAGTTGAAATTTAGCATTCGATTTAAAGCTGCTGTCTGCTTTATTCGCAGATTCGTACCCATGGTTGTCGAGTCGAGCAGTAGGGACGGCACTACGCACAAGGTTGACAGGGGCTACTCCTCTCAGTTGAGCCCTGGGAATGACGGGAGTACGAGCCGCTAGCCGATCCCCTCGAGAAATCGATCTCTTATAGCCTGAGCGGTAGTGGTATTGAGCTTCATCATCGAGTGAGCTTCATGATCGTTGTGGCTCAACAAACTGCCGTTGGGGGGGGGGGGAAAGACAGGCCCTCTTCCAACTTTTTTGGCGAGCGCCGGCGACCCCGACCAACAGTGGCCGGAGGGAGGAGGCAGAGGAGGGGGACAAGGGCACGAGGTCAACGTCAACGACGGCGGAAGAGTTTCAAGTCAAGGCATAAGAATCTCACGTCACACTAGATTAGGTCACTTCTAGTCCAGTAGTACGGGCCTTTATGTCATCTTCAGCCGTAGACGCTGCAACTGCGAGGTCGGACCCCCGCTGTGAGTTCCGACGGCTGGTAGACGCCAACATTTGTAAGTTATGTAGAGGATAAGGAAGTGGCAGGACGCACGTGAAACATAAAGAGGTGAAAAATATCCATTTTATTGACCCTCATATCCAGTGAAATGCGTGGAATCCATGGGGCAGCTCATAAAGACAGCAAAGGTGCGTGACTGGCCGTTACATTACCAGGTTTCTAAATGGAAGAAATTTATGTATACTGCATTTATTATCACATCTCAGATGGGCTCAACGCGGGAAGATGCGCACATGGACGCCAACCGTGTAACCATATTGACCGGGACCATTGTAAGTGTCATAGATCCTTCGGAGTATCTTTCTGTGGAATCATGCAGACATATCCATCTCGTTTATTTTTATTTACCTGTCGGAGTTTTGGCTTGAAGTCCGTTTTTGGCATTCGTCTCAAGTATGCTTCAAGTTCTGTGTGTGCAAGCTTTAAACTTGGATTCTAATTCACAAGTTCAGTAATCGTAGAGTATTCTGTAGGGCCACCAGACCGACAAAAGAATCTGAGAAACCTATCGTCGCCTTATGGATTTGTATCCTGTACATCCTGCAATGAATTGCTGTCAAACGTGGAATGTAGGATCTTTGAAATCTTTTTTAGTCGGCGAATGACGTGTGAATGTGAAAAATGCAGCGAATACTACTTCCTCATACATATCTTAATGTCTCAACTACACAGCTACAAAGCAGTGAGCAACTATTGACACAGATCGAGCAATTGAAACGCCTGCACGTGCTACAAGACTTTGATACCATAAATACGGAATTGGATCGAGACGTCATTTCTTTGGAAGCCAGGTGAGAAGGACATGGGATTGATCCCAACAGCATGGTGCATTGATAACTAGTGTGAGTATGCCATAGGGAAAGCGTGTTGCATTTGTCGTTTAGCCACATCTTTAAGTACTAACGGCGCAGCTTTCCATGGATGTGGTATCTATCTTCACCTTTCTACAGGATTGAAGCACTGGACGCCGAGACGGAACATTGGAAGGCTGTTGTTCAGAGTGCTGCAAACAGGAAATTAGCCTCCGCAGTAGATGGCTTGGCATGAGTCCTTATTCAATTACTATAGTCGGTGCGAATGAAATCTAGGAGCCAAGGGTCGGCGAAGGGCAGAGAGAGAAATGTACAGGCATCTGAGAGGCAAAAATGTGATTCAAATTGCTCCTTGGCATATTGCAAATGACTAGAAATTTTATGCGCGCATATGTAATTTATGCGACGGTCGCAAAAATAGAAATTGACACAATCTTTGACCAAAAAATCGATCTAGGTCCCACTTTATTTTTATCGACAGAAATTGTACGAAACTGAGTATTGTTTTTAAATGCCTCGCTTCACTTGGAGCGAACGAACCCGTCCCGGTTTATCGAATATTTCGTTGCCTACAAAGCTGTGTCAGCCAAGCAATTCTTTGTTCCTTCGGCCGCATATGCGTACAAGAAAAAGTTACTCTTTACTTGTTTGAAAAACACCCGATATAGCCTTCCTTGCCCGCGGTGCGGGCCGGTGGAATGCACGGGGGTGAGAGGGAGGGGCGGCACAGCACCTCCCCGTACCCCCCAACCTGGAACTTCAAGGAGCGAGTCAGCTAGGGTCGGCCTTGCGTACCCTCCACTGCCATCACCGCGCAAGATAGAGTTTCTGTTGATTTTAAGCCCCTTAAAAACAACAAATCGCGTCGGATTCTACCAAGAGAGTTCCAACATGAATTTTGACATGACTGATTAAAAGTGAAGATCCGGAAAAATGACACTTGGCTTCACACTTAAGTGTTGTACGTCCTCTCTACATGTATTTGTTCCCTCCATAATGGAGGATGGTAAATTGACAACTGCATCATAATACACTATTGTACTATTACTCTTCAAATAAATCAACTAAGATGTGATCTCGTTGAGAGCGCATGTGATAGTCGCATGTGAAGGTCATCCGCCTCCCCATTACTCCCTCTATGTACATCATCCTTCATGTTTTACACACAGCTACAAAAACTACCAGTTAATCAGTTTTCATTTGACAATGGGAGGCAGTACACTTCAAGCTGAACGGTCTTATGAAAATACCACACCCGCTGCTGCGCAGTTTGACATGGACGTGGACGATACGATGGTCAATGTCTCCGAGCTGCAAAAGCTTGGCGTGAACGCTGCCGGTAGGTGTGACTGGGTCATGTTGCACGACAAATCCGAGAGAAGGGCCTGTTTAATTTGACTCGTTAGCACACTATTTATGTTTTAAATCATTACCATCTCTTCATTTCATCAAATGTTGCTTTAGATATCGCTAAGCTTGTTGAAGCCGGAATTTCGACTGCGGGCATGGTGTGTAAGGTCCCATTGAAAGTATTGCTGGCAATTAAGGGCTTTAGCGAGGCCAAGGTAGAGAAAATTCGATCAAGTGCACGAAAGCTGACCGGCGGCACATCGCATCCATTTCGGACGGGTACTGAGGTCCGTGAACAACGCAAACGTTGCATAAAAATTACAACTGGCGCTAAAACTTTTGACGCAATTCTGGGCGGTGGTGTTGAAAGTGGAAGTATCACGGAGGCATACGGAGAGTTTCGTACAGGTAAAACCCAGCTTTCCCACACCCTGGCTGTGACTTGTCAGCTAGGGTTTGATCAAGGCGGCGGGCAAGGAAAATGCATCTATCTGGACACAGAGGGCAATTTTCGTCCTGAACGCATCGAGAAAATTGCTGAGCGCTTTGGTTTGGATGCAGATGCTACTTTAGACAACATAATTGTCGCCCGTGCCTATGCATCCGGTACGTATCCTGAAACATGAAGGAAACAGTATTTTACCTAATATTAGCAGGAAGGAACACATAAAAAGTCTTACTTGCGTGCAAACCAAAAGAAGCGATTCTGTTGAAAGTACACGGACAATAACAATTTGATAGATAATTCGTGCGTCAGTGAATATATGCATGCTTCTTTGTCTTTGCAGCCCCTCCGCTTTACCCTGTCCTCAGATATAGCTAAACCCTCTGATTTTAATTTTACCACCCACGGCAAAAATAATTTTCGACAGATCAACAGTGCGAGCTATTAAAACCTCTAGCGGCTTTAATCGCAGAGCATGGTCCTTTCCGGATGCTGATAATCGACTCAATCATCGCCTTGTTCCGGGTCGATTACTCTGGACGCGGCGGTACGTAAATAATTCTTTGATCACCTGTTTCCCCCGTCCCCCTTTTTTTCTTTTTACCTCTGACTTTGCCTTTATATATACTTTGGCTTGAACAACATAAGTGCCCTCATCTGCGGTTAAATTTCTCGTCACAACTCGGTCGCGCTTGATCGAGGTCATGGAACAGTCAAAAAAGTTTTTTCATCAGGCTTTTTTGCCACCCATCCACTCCTACTCATCCCCCTTTCATACACCGCTCATCCTATCAGAACTATCTGAACGTCAGCAGAAGCTTGGACAACACCTTTCCGCACTGACGCGTTTGGCCGAAGACATGAACATTGCCGTCTTTCTTGTCAATCAATGCACCGCCGATCCAGGCGCTATGAGTCTCTTTGCCCCAGTCGTCAAGCCAGTAGGCGGTAACGTGTTAGCACACGCTTCATGTACCCGCATCCATCTTAAAAAGGGTCGTGAAAACTGCCGCGTCGCCAAAGTCGTGGATTCGCCGTCAATGCCCGAGGCTGAAGCACAATTTGCTATTACGGACGGTGGCATCGCTGACGAGTGAGAACTATGTGAATGAAAAGATAAACCCATGTGAGGCCAGTATGTACCTCTACGCAGATTTGGAACGACTTTGTAGCCACTCGGACTGGAGGGAACATGAATGGCCAAGGAAACCCATACGTGAAGACACATAATGCACGACTCTTCAGGGCCTCTGTCATGGGGAAAGAGTCAAGCGTTAAAGAGGATCTATCAGTCTGTGAAAAGTCTGAAGATTCACGACACAGTTTCCCTAGTTGCAATGTTTCCGTTTCCGCTTGAATCCTCATGTGGGATGTTTCTATTTGCCACGCTCACACCAACTGCCACCTCACCAGATAAGGGGAGGTTAAAACGGGCATCGCCGCAAACTTAAACGTTGAGGAAAAAATTATCGATTTACCTATGGTGTCTATTGTAACTGACCATCGGAAGGGACAGTCCTCCTTCACAAACGGAACGAATGAAAGCTGAAATCGGCTGAATGGTTGAAGATAGGAAACAAATGCATTGCTTGTTAGATTCCCAAAATAAGCATGAGTTGTCATTGTGGTTGGAAACCTCACCAATGGCTTCTGGTCTTATTACAGTTTGATTTACGAGAGACAGGTACCTTAAAAATAGATCCCAAACCGAATTTGACATAGAAAGCATCTTATCCGTACTTCCGTCTTATACAGGCAGTGTTTCCAAATAAAGCGGCCTTTGTGATGATGCACGCATCTGTGCATGAAGCGAAGAAGAGCGGGGCATAGGTGTTATTTAATTTGGGAAAGACGAGTATGTCACTCGTATTTCAGTCTTCTTTATTATCTAAACAAAAAGGCATCTTACTGAAGTTCCCCCGCTACAAGGGTGCACATTCTCGCTTAGACCGTCAGTTACATACCCTGTACCGTGATGCCCATATCATTGTCATTAGTAAGGCCGCAGGGATCCTTTCGCAGCCCGACGAGAGAAGCATTGGTGGGGCGACTGACCTACTAGGTCTTGTGCGAGCATACATCAAAAAATCTGCAGGGAAACAGAATGGTGCTTACGTGGGCCTGGTGCATCGTCTCGATAGGAATGTAACAGGTTGCATGGTCTTCGCGTTGCGATCAAAAGCGGCCGCACGCTTATCTTATGACTTCAAAAATAGGTTGGTTCGGAAGATGTACGTGGCAATGGTAGTGGGGACACTGTCTGGCGAGGGTTTGCTCACAAACTCCCTCGTGCACGGCCGAAACAACGTGGCTCGCGTGATGAATCGCGTGAATGAGTCATTGCAACCGCCAAGCGTGCCATCGAACAAGAAATTGGAGCAAGCACAATTATATTTCAAATCTCTGGGCACTTTCTACCATCCACGGGGGGGGGCACAAACATTGCTTCAAATACAACTTATCTCAGGAAAAAAACATCAGATCCGAGCACAACTATCCCATCTCGGCCATCCAATCGTAGGCGATGTCAAATACAAGGCTCCTACTCACTTTCGGGACAAATTTATGGCCTTGCATTGCTACAGTCTTACCCTCCGCCATCCATCGCAGGGAAGTAGGATTGTGAAAGAGCTAACAAGCGGCGAAGGTGTTTGTGGGGACCCCAAGGGGCGAAAACTGGACCACGAGAAACGTCAGATAATGGATTTTTATGCCCCTCTGCCCGAATCGTGGCAAGCGAGGTTCGGAGCGGACGTAGTTAGATGTGTGCACGAGTTGCCAAGGGACATTGGTGATATCGCGCTTGCATAAAATCTTGTAGCCGTGGGGTACCTTAATCAAAGCCAGTTCTCATGGCCACGTGCCCATCCTAGTTCGTTTCCGCGTAAAATCCCTTTCTCGAAAGCAATGGAGGATCACCTGCCATCCTTGAAATTCAAGCCACAAAGAATGTGAAAAAGACAATGCTCTTTACTTTATTCGCTGTCTACAGTTGTACATGGCCTTCCCTCTTAGCCTTAGTGTACAAAGCTATGGTTCAAGAGCATCGCCAAGATTTATACATTGGATAAATACCCGCACAAACTAGCATTTCCGCGTCCTTCTCGACTGGATGTCCTCAGTCTATTTACAAAGTACCGTCAGGAGCCCCTCGAACCCCCTTCCGTCTCTCGCGTACCGTTCTCTTTCTCCTCTGCAGCCCCAAGCCTCCTCGTTAGCAACAGTGGACGAGATACTAATGTTATATTGGAAGCTTCCTCACTTTCATTCATAGCTTTTTTATATAAGGATGAAGAAGCTGGCGAGATGGATGATGGATTGCCGTAAGTGACACATTGTTCAACACCGCTGCAATCTTTCCGTATCTCTGTGTGGAAATACATCAGCATGCACTTTTACCATGCGCTTGACCTTCCTCATGACCAAGAATCCGGCTACCAAAAATAGTAAGGAGCTAACTCCCAGGATGAAACAGCCGGGCTTTAAAGTAGTGACCACGTCAAAACATTTGTCGTCGCCCGCCAACTGGTCATCCATTATTTCCCGGAGGAGCGCGTTGACGGCGTCGCAACGGTCTCCTATCACAAAGCGCACGAAGAGGTACATCTCCCATGTGGATACCACCATGCTTATGAACAATACATCTGGAGCACTCCACGCGTACAGTATTTCTGCAGGCATTACCAACTTTCGAGACTCTCTCGGCTTGAGTATGAGCAGAGCAACAAGTAACGTTAGGCAGCTTATTGGTGCACCGACCACAAAGAAAAAGAATGACGCCTGTAAGAAGAATATGCCTATGCCTTTGCTTTCTGATGATGCAGGAATTTGCTCACCAAGCGAAAGGGCCGACATAGTGCGCAGGGATGCCGACGAATCAGGCGAGTCCTGGGTGACGTTGTCCAGTATCCATCCAGTCAAACCCTTAAACTGAAAGGAAAAAGCGGGCAGGACAAGCCCCATGATGAGGCATACTCCTATGCAGAGCACACCACACACCGTTGGGATCTCCCGCCACATGGAATGCTCCAAGCTGCCTCCCACGCTGGTCAAAGGTTCATCGCTGCCGCAGCAGTCGAAGCGCACTTTGTTTGACAGGAAGCGTTCGTTAATCATACATCGTGCCTTACCACAGTCTTCAGAACTGCTCCCATGGGCTTGTTCATCGCATTCCATTGGCGTAGAGGGAGCGGAGCTCTCTTCACAGCTTAGCGCAGCATGCCAGGCTTGGTCGTAATAAAGGGTCACGCGGCTTAGGAACATGGACAGAATTAGGCCCCCGAGAAATGCAAAAAATCCCGGCTGCGGTGCAACATAAGTCCACACGCCCCAACTCTCATGATTGGGAAGCCGGGCGGTAAAACTGAATGCGGTCATGAGGATGACTAAGGTGATAGTCTCGACGTGACTGAATTTTTGCAGAAAGTACGTGACTTTCAAGGCGCGCCGTCTTGTACAGGGTGAAAGATGCTTCTCACCCACAGTCCAGCATAAGAGGCACAATAAAAGCTTGACGTGTGGCCAAGCACCACTGCAAATTGCTATGAGAGTTGCCATCCAATAAGCCCCGCTCTGCCACATGTCTTTGATGGACCCCGCCAAGCTGACGTTGTAAAGGACAGGCAGCTCCATGGTCCTGCCTTGCCCGTCGTAGACCCTCGCATACACAGAGGCACCAAGCGTAAGGTTTGAATATAGCAAGAGAGCTGTGTTACCTATCAAGAGAAGCGGAAGGCCGTAGCGAATCGTAGCAGGCAATGTCACGTGGCTGCGAAGCAGTGACGGATGAGGAGCAGAAGACATCGCGCTTTCTGCTATACAGCCGTTGTGGCTATCATCATCAAAACAATAAGAAATGTCTTTTACACTTTCGATGTTTGCGACTTGCTTAGCCAGAAGCTTGTGTTGGAGTGTAGACAGCCCCTCCGACTGCAAACACCCCGCAACCATCTTTTCCTGATGCGATGGGGGAAAAGTTTGGGTGAAATATGCTCCACAGCCAAAACCTCGCTCTAGAATTACGGCTTACTTTACTCTTGTGCTTCCTTTTCTGGTAACGGGCGACACATCAGTTGGTTATTTCAAGGAAGAAATTAGCGAGCCCGCGGAAAGGGGGAGGGGAGGTAGGAGTGTCCGATTGTCTTACTGCCATGCCGCAGGGAACACAGGCAATGGTCACATCCAGGAAAAGAAAGCTGTCAACAGTGATTGTGTGGATACGGTGCACTTTCAATTTTCCTATTTACAAATTTTGTTTTACCGCATGCCTCTTCTTCGAGGTCAAAATTGGGTCATGGGAGTCATTTCACCCTCCCCTTTGTGGGTCCTGAAAAATTTCAACAAAATGGCTTTGACCCATCCCTTGGATGCTCAACACATTCTCTTTATGCTTACGAAGGACCGAAGTTACTTTCGCCGGGACTCCGCTGCATCGAGTATACTCCGGTACGGGCCGTAGTACCACCGAACCTGCGGAGATAATGACGCCATCCCCTATCGGGATATTGCCCAGCACTGTAGAGCCTGCCGCCACCAGCACGCCGCTCCCTAGTTTTGGGTGTCGGTCCCCACGCTCTTTGCCATTACCCCCCAGTGTGACGCCCTGCATGATTATGACATCGTCGCCGAGCTTGGCTGTCTCTCCTATGACCACGCATGTCCCGCTAGACAGGTAGAGTGCCTATATAATCATGGATTGAGAATCGCGTCGATTCACAGGGATTGATATTAGGTTGTTGTTCCAAAACATCAAGATCGAACTATTTCAGAACATGTCACACGACAGTGGCACGCACCCGGCCCACGCAGCAAGCTGGATGGATATCGGCCCCAAAGAGCTCAGAATTCAGGGACTGCAGGTAGCGAGCAAGAGACTCCCGACCCTGGCTGTATATGCTGTGGGCAATGCGGTAGGTGGCGACGGCGTGGTAGCCTTTAGAGAAGAGGAAGGCGGCGAGAAGGGAGGGAATGCTCGAGTCCCGCATGGTGGCCACAAGGAGGTCCTCGCGGAGATCCTGCACTATGCCTGGCTCCTCCTGAAAGACCGAGTCTATCAAAAGCTTCATTTTCGTCGCCTAGGTTGCAAAAAGAAATCGAGCGTGAGTCGTATGTCTTCTCAGTGACGGAACAGAAAAGTATAGATTTTAACAGCACAACGGTGGAGACGTTGCGAATAAGTCCCCCTGCACGGTCTGTCTTCTACAACCGCATACCGGCAAGTTGGAGCCTTGTAATTTTGTGGCCAGGAAGTCTCGTGCTGCAGATTGGATGCCGCCTCGATCTAGCACCCGTTGCTGAATTAGGCCGGCCGCCTTCTCGTCCTGGGCCGCGGAGGTCTCGGCTTCAAACTTGACGAGTTCCCAAAGCGGGTCTTCCGATGCATGCAGAAGTCGTACCAAGTCTTGAATCCGAGACGGAGACTTACTTTGCAGCTCCATTGAGAATGAGGCGCCGCTGGACTCTGAAGACACGGTATCCTTGACTGGCGCACGCTGCTCCGCCTCTTTTCCCCCCTCTGTGCCAATCTCTTCATTTGCCGCCCGCGACAACGAGGCCTGTGTTTCTCCTTTCCACAACACAGTGGGAGGAGGCATATGAAAAAAGGCCATTACGTGGCCTAACGCAAAAAATATAAGGAGAAAATGCCACGTTTTCATCGAGAGGGTCATTTGACGACAAGTCTTCAGGTGATCGGCGTCGGAGCATAAGCCGCGCGTCTGTCCACTAGCCTGTAGAACATGGTTATGGACAAGAGATGCGTCAAAATTTGTCCAGATTCCTCAAATATCACCTCAATTATCTCATAAACGGAAATCTAAGAACACACTCATTTCTTTTGGTTGTTTCTCTATGCGTGTTTCATCAAGCCGCACGTCTAAGCGCTGGTGGGACGCATTTCTCCCCCTGAAGCTCTCCTTGCTGCCTCCTCGCCTTCCGTAACAGCGACATTCCATATCGCACAAACCATCCAACACGACCTCACCAACTTCACCAGCTAGGCCGTAATTCTATCCTCATCACCATAGGTAGGGTCATTTTTATTTTATTTTTTTCCAGGCAGGAAGGGACGGATCAGGAAGTGCTCCATTGTCGTCTGGTACAAGGCTGGGAACTGGCTTCGTGTCATTGAACACTCCCACCGCCAGCTTGTCCCTCCATTCCGCCAATACCATGTTTTACCTGGTAAGGATCTTCACCTTGTTTCTCTTACTGAATCGGGGCGCCACCATTAATCTCCCATCTCACCAACCTCTGTACAGAAAACACTGGAGAAAGACTTCATGCTGGAGCCGAAAGACCTGGGCCCGGGTCTCAAGGAAACCATCAAGTACGTACAGGACTCAATACCTACGCCTTAAAGCAGGAACAGTTCACCCTGGGCTCGTATTCGGACGTGTGCGAGTAAACGGAGATAAAAGGGCTGGCCATAGGCATTGGGATGCGGCTGGTCTTCGTCACTAGCTGTGCATCTGTCGGGACGAGCAATTATTTTCTTCCCGCAAGCTGTCAGCCACGGCGTCAGAACTATCGGACCTTGCTTTATGCTCTTGAAAATGCCTGACATTTCATTCTACCCAACCCAGGCGGCGCCTCACTCAAATGATGGAGGGCACGTTGGAGCCAGATCTCGGCTTCGTGATAGCCTTGGTGGCCCTGGATGATCAGCACATTCGGCCAGGAAAGATAGAGTACGAGACTGGAGAAGTGGAGGTGTGGGTAAAGTTTACCGTCATGCTCTTCCGACCCTTTCGGAACGAGATCTTAGACGCCCAAGTGACCACAGTGACGGACATGGGCTTCTTCGCGGACGCAGGACCGGTGCAGGGAATATACGTAAACAAGCATCAGATGCCTCAGGATTACGGCTTCGATGCACAGGACAATGTTTGGCGCACATCTGACATGGAAGTGGAGATCAGG